AAATGATAAACAAAACTATACAAGTAGCAAAATTTATTTAATAATATTAATAATGATGTAATTATACGATGTTTTCAAAGTGTTAAAATACATATTAACTTATTTTTATTGATATTATGTTGTTTATTAAAAAAAATTATTTTTAAAATTTTGACCCCACAATGCTAGACGTCTGGGTCCGCCCTTGCTCAAGGTTCTAGAAATTGAAAGTTTTAAACTTACCTAGTTTAACCAATCTAAATACTGCTTGAAAATTGACTTAAAATTACTAGGTCATCGCAAATTGTTGTAATAATCCTATATGAATAAAAGACGAAGATAGTTTAAAGTTATAAAGAAAACAAATCTTAACAGAAAGCCTTTGATTATATAAGAAAATAGAAACTTGCTTGAGGTACAGGGGTTTTATAGAATCCCTCTAGGTACCCACAGTATAGGTGAGGTGGGTGGGGATTTTGGCATTTTTTTATATAGGTGAGCCCCGCATGAGACTTGCCAACTGTAATTATCTTGTAGCGGTTCTATGAAACAAAACTTTTGTACATTAAGCAAAATTTAAGAAAATATGTACTTGTAACTCAGTTTATAGACAGTTGCTCTTCAGAATCTAAGATGGTACACATTTGTGTCTGTTTCTCAATTGCCTGGCAGAAATTCTGCACCAAAAATATTCAATTGAACAACGTGGCATTTATAAGCCATATTGCTACATAAATGTGTCACGTAGTGTACGCTTGACAAATCATGGTTCCACGAGAGCTGACTAAGCATTTGATAGTCCATCATTGGGCCTTAGAGCCGACCCAATTTGAAATTATGCCAAATATGCCTAGCTTACCTCGACAGGGTTGTAGTCGACCACGAATTTGCAATATATTTTGGATCGATTGTGAGGTGTCATTTCATGTTAACTGAGCATTTGGTAGTCCATCACGGGACCTCAGAGCCATCCCAATTCGAAATTATGCCAAATAGGCCTAGCTTACCTCAATAGGGTTTTGGTCGACCACGAATTTGCAACATATTTTGGATCGATTGTGAAATAACATTTCATGTTGACTAATGTAATGGAAGGTCTCATCTACCTCACTTGAAGGTATCCACCTTCCACTCATTCTTTTGTCAATATATACACAGTGTGTGTTTGAGCCTTTTTCAAATAATGTATTTTGAAATAGTAGATTGATGAAGAATATACGTTAAAAATGATGAAAAGTTTTGAAATTACGTATAATATTATTTTATTAAAACATGTGCAGTTAAAATAATGTCAAACCACCATTTGAAAATATATATTTTAAAAGAATGCGGGTCAAACGGGGTAATAGTTTATCCTTTCATTATAACGTTGTTATATTGTACGAGTAATATACCAATTGGATGAGGTTTGACTTTTCTGTTGACTTCTGAATCTGATTGGACTTCTGAATCTGATTGGATTTTGAGGTCAAGTATCAATTATCTTAAAGAACATATTCTGAACTAAAAAGTGTTCAAAAAATGGGGGTATGAATAGCAAAATCCCAATAGCTTACAAATTCCGCAGCGTATTTATTCTCAAAAGAAAAATGAAAAACGTAAATTTTATTTCCTAAATGAAAAATGCAAATTGTATTTCCTATGTGGCTTATCGACGTGGACGTTCGAAATGACTCACACTCACATCCGTAGGATCACACCTAAGACAATCTCAACCGTCAAACTTGTAACCACACAAATCCTGATTTATTCATATTTTCTATGTTTTAAAAAATGTAATTATATTCACACCACAAATTTTATTTTTTGCATTATATTTTAATTACACTTAAGATTCTTAATTTTTGCTCATTATAGCAATTATATTTCTAATTATTTATTATGTTATTCTTATTCTCAAACTTTTCATTAGTTAATACATTTTGTATTTGATAACAATTTTATGCTTAAAAGTCTGTTAAAATTGTATAAAATAACTTTTTCTCATTATTGTTTTAAAAATAAATAAATAAAAAGTATGAAAATGATTTTCCCATCATTTCAAAGTATAAAAACAAAGTATTTTAACATAAATCATGGGCGGGAACCCATTTAAGCTCGGGCGGTTGCTCCATTTACGTACTCGTTTGTTTTTTTAATAGTTTTTGATAATTTATTTTAATGTCCCATTTATTCACTTTGAATTTAAGATCTGGAAAAAAAAAAAAAAAACAAAGGAAAGAAAAGTCTTGCATTTTATTTTTTTAAGGTTGATTCACACTTTCTCATCATTGGTTAAGGGGGGCTTTTTTTTTTTTTTTTAAACCAATTTAGATCACGAGAATACTCTTGTTTTAGATGGTCTTCAAAAAAAAGTTGTCCGACAACATAAACCTTGTTGAATAGAAGTATAAATTTTTTATCTTGATATATCCAGTTAACGACTGGTTTTAGGAAAAATAATAATTTCTTGATTTTGCAGTTAAACAGATTCTACAAGGTTCTAGAAATTGAAAGTTTTAAACTTACCTAGTTTAACCAATCTAAATACTGCTTGAAAATTGACTTAAAATTACTAGGACTTTGGTCATCGCAAATTGTTGTAATAATCCTATATGAATAAAAGACGAAGATAGTTTAAAGTTATAAAGAAAACAAATCTTAACAGAAAGCCTTTGATTATATAAGAAAATAGAAACTTGCTTGAGGTACAGGGGTTTTATAGAATCCCTCTAGGTACCCACAGTATAGGTGAGGTGGGTGGGGATTTTGGCATTTTTTTATATAGGTGAGCCCCGCATGAGACTTGCCAACTGTAATTATCTTGTAGCGGTTCTATGAAACAAAACTTTTGTACATTAAGCAAAATTTAAGAAAATATGTACTTGTAACTCAGTTTATAGACAGTTGCTCTTCAGAATCTAAGATGGTACACATTTGTGTCTGTTTCTCAATTGCCTGGCAGAAATTCTGCACCAAAAATATTCAATTGAACAACGTGGCATTTATAAGCCATATTGCTACATAAATGTGTCACGTAGTGTACGCTTGACAAATCATGGTTCCACGAGAGCTGACTAAGCATTTGATAGTCCATCATTGGGCCTTAGAGCCGACCCAATTTGAAATTATGCCAAATATGCCTAGCTTACCTCGACAGGGTTGTAGTCGACCACAAATTTGCAATATATTTTGGATCGATTGTGAGGTGTCATTTCATGTTAACTGAGCATTTGGTAGTCCATCACGGGACCTCAGAGCCATCCCAATTCGAAATTATGCCAAATAGGCCTAGCTTACCTCAATAGGGTTTTGGTCGACCACGAATTTGCAACATATTTTGGATCGATTGTGAAATAACATTTCATGTTGACTAATGTAATGGAGGGTCTCATCTACCTCACTTGAAGGTATCCACCTTCCACTTCTCATTCTTTTGTCAATATATACACAGTGTGTGTTTGAACCTTTTTCAAAGAATGTATTTTGAAATAGTAGATTGATGAAGAATATACTTTAAAAATGATGAAAAGTTTTGAATTTACATATAATATTATTTTATTGAAGCATGTGCAGTTAAAATAACGTCAAATTACCTTTTAAAAATGTATATTTTAAAAGAATGCGGGTCAAACGGGGTAATAGTTTATCCTTTCATTATAACGTTGTTATATTGTACGAGTAATATGCCAATTGGATGAGTTTGACTTTTCTGTTGACTTCTGAATCTGATTGGATTTTGAGGTCAAAGAACATATTCTGAACTAAAAAGTGTTCAAAAAATGGGGGTATGAATAGCAAAATCCCAATAGCTTACAAATTCCTCAGCGTATTTATTCTCAAAAGAAAAATGAAAAACGCAAATTGTATTTCCTATGTGGCTTATCGACGTGGACGTTCGAAATGACTCACACTCACATCCGTAGGATCACACCTAAGACAATCTCAACCGTCAAATTTGTAACCACACAAATCCTGATTTATTCATATTTTCTATGTTTTAAAAAATGTAATTATATTCACACCACAAATTTTATTTTTTGCATTACATTTTAATTACACTTAAGATTCTTAATTTTTGCTCATTATAGCCTGAATCTG